AACGTTATTTGTCATCCTAAATTCAGCGTTAAGCGTTAATGAATAATTCTTCGTTACGCCTAATTTTGCCTTTCAAAGTGCAGGAAAATGCGTCATTGAAGGTTCAAAAATACAAAATTTCCCGGGGGAGAATGCCCCGGACCCCTACACTTGCTCGCGCCTTGGCGCTCGACTCGCGCTTCTGCGCTCGGTCCCTTTAGCTCTAGCCAGAACCAGTTTTCCCTTCAATTTCCGGAAGTTTGCGGAGAGTTACAGAATTTTTTTAACGAATCCGTCAACCTTGACGGGCAAATTGAAAATCTTGAGTAAAATATGAAAACATCAGAAGGACCGACAAACACTCTCAACACCATGATTTGCCTCTCAAAAATGCGGGAAATTGCGTTTTTGAAGGTTTAAAAATCCTAAATTTCCATTGGTAAACTGGGCAGACTGAAAAATGCAAGCTGGCCGACGTCGACTCGGACACCGGGTATTTGTGAACGCACTCGGGGACCAGGGCAGGTGGGAAACACAGGGAACACATATCTTTAATGCATGCTTCATAACATGTAAGGTATACGTAGTTTTGTCAGTGATCACCTTTTCTCACAAAGCGAGATACCAAATCCAGTGCAGCTCGAAAAAAAGCCTGTCAATTTACCGTTAAGCGTTGCCGACCGTCCTGAATTTACCGTTAAGCGTTATCGGCCCTGCTGAATTTACCGTTAACCGTTGCCAGGACCCCCCCCATGCAGACCCTCATTTGATACTGTCTTCCCCCACCGAAAGATCTTCTTGGAAATTATCTGAAAGTGGCAAACTGTACTCTTGAGCAGACCAACTCCCCTGAGATGTTATCTGTTTATTTGGCCAATTTTTACTCTTTCCAGCCACTTCCTGAAGCCTGGTAGAGCCTGATGGATTACTAAGTAGTATTATTCTGTTGGTGTTTAGTCTAATTTTCAGCATTTGTACATCTCACCAAGGAGATTTAAGTTAAGCCTGCTCACTCTTAACCCTCCCACTAGTGAGAGGTGTAGCCTGTAGGAATCAGTATAGGTCCTGGAGTATATAAAGTATTACTAGTATATATCAACGAAAAATGTGTTGATGATGATAAAAGAGAAAAAGAATCCAATATCTTAAGTTAGGTTAATCAGCTAAAACTTGTACTGCTTTAGGCCTCACTGATTTTAATTTTATGGATGAATTCCGCGCATTGATTAAAAAAAAAGAAAGAATCATTTCCTCGGAGAGTCTGGACTGGGTGCCATCCTCCGTACGTAGTCCATGGTAGCTAGCCGACATAGGGAGCCAGACTGCCAATGCTCCATGGAACTCAAGAACTCTGATCTGCCAACTGATAAATGTCGCAACAGGCCAGCACGTGCTGGCTTGTCATAAAAACTGCAAATTTACAGTACCAGCTTTGAATTCCTGTGGTTAAGCAGCATTTTTTGGCTGGAATTTTTTTCCCACACGCACTAGTTTGTCATCCATATAATTCAAATCGGTGTGGCCTTACCTTGTCTAGAGAAATAAAAGTTATGATGTGGTTGCTTACCAAATCAATAGAACTATAAAAACTGTATAAATTTCATTCAACATTATACAATAATGTAAAAATAGCAGAATTACACTACAAAACAATTGGATGCCCATTATTGATCTCCAAGCAGATCCTTTGGTGGCACTACACAGTATCCAATAGCACTACACAGTATATGTGTCTCAGACTTGCCACCAATAGGATCTGAGATTTGGCCTATGGTGGAGCTTGCTAAAGGCATCAGGTGATCATAAAATACTTTTCACCCAATTAGACCTAATCATTCTTTTCTTTGATGGCATAAACTGCATATTAGTGCATCCATTGTGGAGGTTGGTTATCACCTATTCACAAAGCACACATACTAAAGATGTGTGAGAATGGGGAGGAGAGGTGATTATCACACCCTGGTGATACAATGAACAAGTTCCAAAGCAGCAAGAGTCAGACTCCAGTCAGATCATAGAGGCAGAACAACCTCCTTGGTCAGATGAAGTTGACAAAAGAGTTACAGATGGGGGACAGGGGAAGTAAATTAAAGCATTTTCTGAGTTACCAGCCTAAAACTTACAGTGTATGAATTACACACACAAGCACAAAGACACACAAACACACACTCACAGCCAAAATCAAGCGATCATCTAAAAACGTAATTAAAAAGGACCACCTTGAGTGCATACATTAATGTAATTTTGCATGCAATTCTATAGTCAACAGGACTGTTTCAATTGAGAAAAAAGAAATGAAATTGTTGTGGCCTAACAGTTGTTGTTGTTCGTCCGTCGTAGTTGTAAAACAAGCTTAAATGCATAACAAGACTATTAGTCTAATATCCTACTCCAATGGCTCCAGATATAGAGACTTTTTCTGCAGATATGTCTGCAGAAATGTCTGCAGGAAAGAATTGATTTCTGCAGGCAGGAATTTAGGTTTCCCCGGCAAAAATTTCTGCAGAAATTCTCCTTCAGAAATTCCTGCAGGAAAAATTCTTCCTGAACAAATTTCTATACATTTTGTAATATGATAGAGTATATGTTGACTCCTTTTTCAAGACTTACTTCATTGTTATGTATTAAAGATGTTTTAACACTTAAAAGTATTACTTACAGGAAAAATAAATATGTAGCAAAGAATTCTATCTGTTAATGTAAGCACATAAGGAGCTGTGAAATGGGATTTCTATTTCAGCAAGGAGAATTTAAAGAGTGTCTCTTTAACCTCCCAGAGACACTCTTTAACCTCATTGAGACACTCTTAACCTCCTTGGTTTTAAGATTACAAAATCTATTTTATAAACAGTTTTAACTATTTAAAAATCATTTTTTAAATATACATTTAAGTCAGACCACCAATCAGCCTTTAGTGTCAAATAAGGCTGAGATAGAGTATTTGCAGGTCAGACAAAATTCACTTCATTCAGCCTGCAGAGATCAGTAAACAGTACTAAGATCTTGAATTCCAGGACCTGTAGTCATTGAATGGCAGTCATGGTCATAACTAAATAGTTAGGAAGTGATATTGGACAAATTACTCCAAGCATTCTTCTTCTCAAATTATACAACAGTTACAAAAGAATTATTGTATTATAGAATACAACACAGTGTATTCCATATCTCCCGGTGTACATTGTACCAGCCTGATCACAGGTCAGATTTCCCCATGATACATGTAGGTCTGAGGGCTGGGACTGAGGTTGATATGGGATACACCACATTGTACCAACTCGAGAACACACGCCTTTCAATGTGAAATGAGCCAAAATTTGGTGTTGACCTAGATTAAAAAATACAACATCAGTTCCAATGTGCAGATCTGGTATTTGAATTTTCCAGTTATTCTATAGAACATTTTGAAGCCTGTGTGATAACCAATTTTATGTCCTACCTGGGCCGCGATTATGTTTGATACGGATGTTCCGGCCCGTGTGATAACTAGCGGTACGGCCCGGGGGTTCTTCACGCGTACGGTCAGGGCCTTCCAAATGTTCCATAGAACGATTCAAACGCGTTTCAGCCTAACCGCGTGCACCGATTTCGAAATTTGAATACAAAATTCAGACGTTGAAATTGATGTTGCATTTTCTGGGTTTAGGGACACCAAATTTTCGCTCATCTTGCATTGAAAGGCGCGTTTTCTTGGGTGGGTGACATAAATAAAATACAACACGGTGTACTCTGCAGCGCCCTCTGTCCCAGCCCTCCCGCGGTCAGGCTGGTACCTCGGGCAATACGGAATGCCCAGCGTTGTATTCTGTATGGAACCCGGGCTGTATAGCTACTTTATGACATAGACCGGATAGATAGAATACTACACAGTGTATTCCGTATCGCCCAAGCTACCAACCTGACCCAACCAATCCAATGCACAGGAGGTCTGAGGCAGATGTCATAGTGATACCCACCCAAGAAAACAGACATTTTAATGAGAAATGTGCCAAAATTTGGTGTATCTAACCAAACAGTGTAACAGCGTCATTTCCAACATCTGAATTCGGTGTTCGAAGTTTCGAAAGAGGTGCACTCGGTTCTAGCAAAATGCTTGTGAAATTATGTATAATGGTCCAAAGTGTTATATATAATTATGTATAATGGTCCAAAGTGTTATGTATAATTATGTATAATGGTCCAAAGTGTTATGTATAATTATGTATAATGGTCCAAAGAGTTATATATAATTATGTATAATGGTCCAAAGGGTTATGTATAATGGTCAAAGGTGTTATGTATAATTATGTATAATGGTCCAAAGGGTTATCTATAATTATGTATAATGGTCCAAAGGGTTATGTATAATTATGTATAATACCAAAATCATTATGTATAATTATACATAATCATAGTATAATTATCTATAATTTGACTATTCCCAAGGGACTCATCAACGCTTTCCGCATATTCATTACCACCTAATATGTTACCATAAAAAGTATTAAGACAGTTGGGTTAAGCGTTTGGGATTTATGGGTGGGAGTCCATAATTAAAACGTTTTTCCATAATTATATCGCGGCTTGTTTAAGTAGTATACTTCATAGTCATAAAATTACCATCTATCGGAAAATGATAGTACAGATATATTACCTCCTTTAGGGATTAATGGCTACTGTTTATTTTCCAGATGCAGCACATGTACGGGCGCTACCTGCGTGCTGAAAGTTTCCGTAAGGCTCTTGTTTACCAGAAGAAATACCTCCTGCTGCTGCTGGGAGGGTTTCAGGACTGTGAAGAGGCAACCCTCGCTCTGATCGCCAAGATGGGCGCCTACCCGTCATCAGCTGACATCCAGAGGAGATCACGACATTCCAAGGCATTCACCAGGTGGGGGGAACATAGATCCTGTTCATACCAGACTTTTAAAAACTGGTTGAAACCGCTAAATGATTAGCGTAGGAAAAGACCCTTAGCGTTCATACCAGACTTACATAACCGGTTTTGTAAAAATCCTGTCCGGTGAATATCCAATTAATTGGCCATGACTGCAGTTTGAATAACCGTTCCTCCCTGTCGCACACGGCCAGGATGCTGACCCCTTGACCTCGGAATTATGACGCAAAAACTGATTCAATAAACCCTTAGCGTTCAGACCAGGTTTTTCGGTGGAAAAAACCCTCACCCCCAAAAAAATCCTGAGGTGGTTTTTGAAAATCGGATTCAAACCCCTAAAAAACTGGTTGATTTGCGTTCACACTAGGTTAAATAAAAACCGCTAAATATAAATCTGGTATGAACGGGGTGATAGAAGAGTCAGGATTTCCTAGCAGGGCTCTCACCAGGAGTTTTCAGTGTAGACCAAAATCACATGTCAAGTGCAGAACTGTAGGGGGGTCTTCCCCCTAGAAAGAAAATGCTTTTTGACAGCCAAATTTGGGAAAAATAAATTTTTTTAATCCTTGTTGAACCGGTCTAATTATAGCTCAATTGGTAGAGTGCTCGCTTTGTAACTGGGAGGTCGTGAGTTCAAACCCCGGCCGGGTCATACCAAAGACTTTAAAAATGGTACACACTTCTTTCTCTGCTTAGCACTCAGCACATATGGGAAAGAGTGTGGGAAGGTCAAACACACAGCACTACCAGCGGACCAGCCCCCTGCTGTAGTGCATTTCACAATTGTGTGTCGCCCAAGGGCTACAAAATGGAGATGGGCACCACCCTACGCTCGGACAAGAGCACGGGAGACCTTCTTCTTCTTCTTCTGTTACAGCTCTACTTTTAAATTTAAAGCCACTAATAAGTTTTTGAATCTAAATTTAGGTACATCATTACTATCAAAAACTGAAGGAAAAAAACATTCCAGCTGTTTTGTGAGGAATGTTGCCACCACCAGTGGGAACTACATGTAGGAGGACTTGTCACTGCTAAGTTTAGCTTTCTGCGTTGAGAAAAAATACACTGTGAAATAAAGCTTAAGGGATTTAAAAATACATTGTATCAATTTAACAAGTCCCAAAGGTAAGAAACAGCAAGTTGAACATTTCCGTGAGATAGAGTTGTACTAAACATCCATTCTCCTGAGTGTCTGTCCACAGGTTCCGCTCGGCTGCCTGTGTCATCATAGCTGTGGGCAGGTTACAGTTCCTTGTGCAGAAGTGGAAACGTGCCACCAGGATTGGTTCCCCCATTCTGAACAAGACCATGGCTCGTGGTAAAGGTGAGCAAATCCCGCATAAACCAGATAACTCAATGCATACATATTGAGTACTGTTCTTTTTAATGGAATATAAAAAAAATACATTGTATTTTTGCCCTATTGGACCAAATTAATGATTCTTACAGCAACTTTCATTTTGTGAAACCTGGCGTGCTCATTGTAACATGCTAATAGACAGAATTTAATTTGATTCCCTGGTGGCTTCAGGAATCAAGTACAGACTCTGAGGTTATAATGTTTGAAACACAACACAAACTGCTACTTGCTAAGTTGGAAATTCCGAAGTGTTATTTGCAGAGAATATTGAAAGACCAAACTATGACAATTGAGAAAATGCAGGTTACCGGTATGTACAGTCATGTAGGTGACTGTAACAGTTGATACTTGTGTACAGACAATTTGTTCAGACAGCAGGACATACTGAAATATACCGTTGCCTGAGAGGTACATCATGTATAGCACATCTACATGTAAGTATGAACTTTGTATGCCTACCTGGCAGTGCCTATATGCACAGGCCAGGTACTGGCCCCTAGCTCCCCTCTGTCAGGTACTTCCAGCCAGCTCTATCAGAACTTTATTATTAACCAATAATATGTTCTTTTTTGTCAGATGGTGGACAGCATAGTAGAAGTCTGTCTGCAAATGGTGAACAGTATAACAGAAGTGACAGACAGCACTACAGCACTGTACCTCAAGAAGATGCACAGCGCCACATTAGGCTGTCCCCAGGACAGCACAGCAGAAACCTGTTGCCGAGTGATAGACAGCACCAGAGCAGACAGCCTGCTGGTAGTCGGTATCAGCCCAGTGTACAGCCTGGACAGGGAGACCATCCCTACAGTCTGCCTGGTACTCACCAACACCGGCTTAGTCCATCTCCTACTCACGCTGGGTCAAACCTACGCTTCGGTGTCACACGTTACTCACCTCCCAGGCCACATCTTGCCCGCCAGTCTCCCAAGTACGTGCAACTTGTTATTTTTCGATCCTATAGTCTAGCATTATAAGTGGGTGTCCACTTAGAGAGAACAGTTGCAACTGCAAAATTACAATATCTGTAGGCCCCAACATCTAATGAATGAAAAATCAGTTTGAATTTGATTCCCTTCCATTTTAGCTCTGGTTTGTGAGTGTCGCTGCACTCTTACCTTAGACTCCTCAACCCCCCCAAATACTCCACAGATCGTGTCATACACACAGTCAAAGTAACTTGGCCTGTCATGTACATGTAACTGTAGTTGTAACTAACTGTGGTTAGGCCACACCAATTTTATTTGTTGTTTCTCGCATTCGCCCTGTCCATTTTTTTCTGATTTGCCAAAAAAAAAAACTTTTTGTACTGTAGGTTTGAAATCAACTGCAAAATGCTCAATGAAAGACATATTTTGGCGCCAACGGTTGAAGAAAGTCCTTTCCTTCCTAGTTGTTAAAGTTTTTCAATGTAACAGTGCAATTTTGTTTCATTAAAAGTTCAAAATCTATTGCTTCAACTATAAACCAGCCTGGTATGTTCACTTCGTAGCATTTCTGGCTACCATAGGGTGCCTTGGCCTGTGTTTTTTTTTGTAACTTATTTCGCCCTGTCGCTTCATATTTTTTTCTGAAAAAATCCAACAAACAATAAATTAAATTGGTGTGGCCTTAGGATAAAAGTAAATAGCAATTGTGACCAGAGACCTATCATTATTTATAGTGTGAATGTCCTGACATGTCCCGTGTCCCTGGCAGGTCAGCTGACAGGACTGATGACGTCTCACTCACAGACTACATCCACAGACTGGAGTCCCTGCAGCGCAGACTGGGAAACCCACCCACCGGTAATTTGTGCTATAATACATAATATTATACGATTTGAATGTATAATATATAATCATACCAAATTGCTTTCAGAACAAAAAATAAATAAATAGTCCTGTTTTTTGTCAAGAAAAATTGCACGGTGTGCATTGTACATGTAGGTGGAACGGACTGTGGTGCCATATTGATACATGTGTTTTTTAAATTTGCCAGGCATAATGTAAGCCACATATTATATTATACTTGATACAGCCAGCAGGAAAGCGAAAAGGAATACAGTTAATAATAATTATAATATAATCATATATTTACAAGGCCAGTTAACTCTATGGGAGGAATCAACATCTAGCACAAACTCATTTTTTTAAATCTTTTTTTCTTTCACGCAGATGGGTCCAGGGAATGAAGCTGTCCAAGTGTGAAATACTACATCTACATCTAGGTGATCATCAGTTATCCAATTGTTGCACCCCAGCCAGACCAAGGTTTCACTGTTGTGATGAACTGTGACTGATAGGATGTCAGTAGTTTTCATTATCAAAATTTAATCCATCTTTAGTCTTAGGTCATGATCAATCTGAAATCCAAGAAGCACTGTCAGACAGTTATTTGATTATTTCAAGTCCTCTATACATAAGAACTTATATATATAATTTAGAGATTTGCGTGAATGATTGTGTAGTGTACAATACGTTGTACATACATTGTATGCATGTAAGTTAAACATACAAGTAGGAGCTCAAATTCAATGGTTTGGGCATTTCTCTCTTACAATTATTTTCATTTAATATCATAATTTACTGGGGTTTTTTTGGTGCATTATCATGACAAACTTCCTGGTTTGAGACCTTTAATTTGATTCATTTTACTGAAATGTGATTACTGGTTTATACATACATGTACTACATGTAGTTGCAACATTCCATTATTTGGCAAACATCTACATCTACATTGTATGTTAGCAGAAATTTTGGCAATGTGCCTAAGTATGTGTCAGTTATACCAGTAATGGAACTCTGACTTGTAGAAATCCCATATTTGTGCACCAGGCATCAAGTTGTAATATTATGTTACTTATTAAGTTTGTATATTCTGAACTAAGAAACATTGTTAGGAATTTACTGTAACAGTTGCAAGTTTCTTCACATTTGTGTATGCTTGACTGCCATTAAAGAACTTGCACATAGTATGTATGTGCACCCAGTGATGAAAGTGTTGGACTCATTGTCTACTAGCCTTTACTACATTTAATTTATTACAAAATTGTATAGTGTTTTAATACAGAACAGAATAATTGAGATGTTTAAAATGCCACAATCACTTAGTAAAGTCATACCTTAGTAAAATCTACTTTGATGAACGAATCAAAACGGGACTGTAGACATTAAGTTTTACACATTCAAATGTGGCTGAGATTTGTGAACCAAACCCAACCCATCGAAGACGGGCCGCCAAACATAAAAATGGAGGGAAATGACAGACAACAAGCCAACAAAGACAACATCACCAGACCAACAAACTTGGAAAACACCACTTCAAGCGCTAACGTTGTAAGAACTGTGGAACCTCAAACTAGTATGTTTGCGTCAGCGGAAAGGCTGTCGAAGTAACCACTACATGAAAAACTGCGGCGAAAAAGTAACATGGGTTCGTCCCAAAATTAGACGCAAGTGAGCTACAAAAGAAATAGAACCTATGCAATGCAACTTGCTTGTTGCTGTCAACTTACCCGTTAAAGATTGAACCGATACATGTACGTACTATAACTTGCCATACCCGGCCAAAGACGACTACATTACTGTTACTCTTTATTTTGTGCTGTATAATGTATATGCGTTACATTATCTATCATTGTCATTTCTGTGAATTCCTTAAAACATCTACTGTTAGTTTGTGTAACATTACGTAGTGCTACAATCTGCGTAAAAAAAGTGGGCTTCATCACGTGTT